CTGTGTCCCTGGCTCCTCCCTTGTCAGTGCTCCACCGCGGCCCCTCTGTGAGCGCTCCCCCACCCTCCTGGCCCCAGAGGAGGTGCCGGCAGCAGACCACACCTTAGGAGGAGTTGGTGGATTCTAACTTTCAGCTCCTCCTTTTCTGCGCCGACGTCATCATTGCTCTGCTTTGTCCAACATGTGGCCGGGGGCCAGGGTTGGAGCTTCCAGCAGGGACGGCCCTTCAGAGAAGCCTGAGTTAAGGCAAAGGAGTGGACCTTTGTATATTTGCATGGACTAGTCTAGGCTGCTCCTGGGACTGGGTGTTCTGCTCTGGCCAAAGGCAGTGCCCCGAGAGGAACTCAGCCGAGAGCCTCACTGGCCAGCTCCTTGGCAGCTGGGGAATGAGCCCCTGGGTCCTAAGACGAGACCTCGGCTTGGGGCACCACGGCATCCGCTGCAGACCTGCTAGACCCAGCTTGAGGTGGCACCACTCTGAGTCACCTTTTCAGTGGTGCCTCACCAGCAGCTACCTGTGGGTAGCTGTGTTTTGAAAGAAGACAGTCCTGGGGCGCCTGGGTGGGTCAGTTGGTTGAGCGGCTGACTCTTGATTTTGGCTCAGGTCGTGATCTCAGGGTTGTGGGATCAAGCCCCGAGTCTGGCTCTGCGCTGGGCATGGAGCAAGAAACTGCTTGAGTTTCTCTCTCTCTCTCTCCCTCTGCCCCTCTCCATGCTCACACTCTGTCTTAAATGAAAGAAAGAAAGAAAGGAAGGAAGGAAGGAAGGAAAGAAAGAAGGAAAGAAAGAAGGAAAGAAAGAAGAAAGAAAGAAAGAAAGAAAGAAAGAAAGAAAGAAAGAAAGAAAGAAAGAAAGAAAGAAAAGAAAGAAAAGAAAGAAAGTCCACACGGTAAGGATTTCAGTACAGAAGAACACCCAGAGGGTAGCGTGCCCCAGAACCTGGAGCTGGAATGCCCCGAGCAGAAAGGAGAGAGGGCAGTTTGCGGTGTCGAGACAGCAGCGTCCCCCAGCTGCGTATGTCCAGGCTTGCATGTGAGTTAAAACGGATCTTAGCACTGAAATCTACAGGGCGAGATCAGACATTCCCAGGACCCCAAGTAAGATGGAATAAGGCAAGAACATTCTCCTCTATCGCTAGTTCATTGTTTCAGCACACCTTTGACTTTGTGGAGCCCCGGCACCCCCTTGCTCTCCCTGAAGATGGCCCATTGTCTCAGTCTGTTTCAAGCCGTCTGGAAGTCACCAGCTAGCTGAGAAGGGTAGATGAGCTTGTTGGTTACACTGGGGGTGCTGGCCTCTAGAGCCAGGAAATGAATCTACGTATAAACTGACCTGCTTGGCCATGCGGTCCGGCCCAAGAGCCACACTGGATGGACACTGCCATATGGCAGTAGAGCTTCCAGAAGCTAAACCAGTGGGTCCTGTGCCCTCTGGCCCCACCCCACCCCCCGGGCTGTCTCAGATTCCAAGACACAGCCCAGCCCAGGGAGCAGCCTCTCCCCATTGTTTCACACGGGTTGGCGTTAACTCTGTTACCGTTAAGAAAAGTAGCATTTACTGGGCGTGTACACATCATGGTAGTGATAATGGCATTAAGTTCATTAAGTTTTTACTTCTATCGAGTGCCAGGAATCATGATGAGTACGTGGCATCCTGTCTAATGAAACTTGGCAATGATTCTGTAAAGTTCTTTTTATTACTCCCATTTCACAGATGGAGAAACGGAGGTGAAGAGAGGTTAGGGGACTCGCCCTAGAACACACAAGGTACAAAGTGGCAAAGCCAGGATTTGTGCCGTGTCTGGGTAACTTGAAAGCAAAGCCATCACCGGGTTCTTCTCATGGTAGTGTGGGGAGAAGTGGGCAGGGCTTGCTCTGTGGGTTTCTCCCTGCCCTTCGGAGCCCTTCCCGCCGCTTTTTAACATCTGCCCCTCTTCCAGGCATCAAGGATTGGCTAGCTTTCTGTAAAGGACCAGGCAGTAACTCTTTTAGGCTTGTGGGTATAAGGTCTCTGGAACAGGTACTCAGCTTTGTCCTTGTAGTACAGAAGCTGCCATAGACAATATATGAATGAATGGGTGTGGCTGTGTTCCAATAAAACTTTATTTAGAAAAACAAGCATCAGGTGGGGTTTGGCCTCCATAGACCAAACTATATAGCTTGCTGGTCCCTGGCTAGGCCAGGAGACATTTCTGCTAGGAACAAGGGTGATCTGATAGGAGGTAATGTGTTTACCATCCCAGATATACTTAGATTATAAAAGACCATCACTGGGAACAGGCAATACCTAGCCTCCAGGGGCATTTCTATCTGTGTGGGCAAAGGGTAGTTGCTCTCTGACTCTGTCCCTCAAATCACACTCTAAGAGTGATTGCCTGGCAAGCCTGTGTCTTTGCTTTCAGACAGAGAGGATTCACTAACTGGTACGAATCTGACATGTGTGCATGCTGACCTAGTTTGAAAAGGAAAGACTTCATTAGTTTAAGGTAGAAACACAGGGTGACGTGTTGTGTGTCCCTGGGGAAGTCAGTTCTCTTCTGGGCTTCCCTTTCCTCATATATAAGATGGGGATGAGTCTGCTTTGAAAACCAGAGGGTCCTGTGCGAGCTTGAGCAGTCATTCCCATGGTCAGCATTGCTACCTTGCCACGTGCTCGCTTGGAAACAACATCGTGAATCGTGAGGACAGTATTTTCCGTGCTTTGTTCTGTTCCTGTTGGTCTGCAGCCCTGTGAAGCAGAAAGGGCAGCAGTGTGGTCTAAACATGGTCCAGTAAGTGCAGAGAGCCAGTGAGGTGCAATCAATCAGTCACCTGCTCAGAAACTACCAAGGGCTCCCCATTGTCTATAGACTAAAGCGCAGACGGCCTACATTCAAGATTCTCCTCAGCCTGGTTCTTTCCCATTTCTTTCCCCGTGAAATTCCTTTTCTCCAACTCTGGCAGTCCCTGAATGTTCTTGGACATTCTCACTTATGTGCCTTCATTCCTATTGCTTCCTTCCTCTGTAATGTCCTCCACAGCCTGTTTCTGATTCCCAGAGAGCTCTCCTCCCTGCTGATGGCTTGCACTTCCACCACTGTGGACTCCTGTCTCTCGATGGTTAGGATATTACCAGATTTTTAAAAGTCTAATTGTACCCTTAGCCTTTGTCAACCTGACAGGAGCAGGTTCAGCTTAGAGAGGGTCATCCATCCCCCAGGGAGCCAAGCCAGGCCCATCGTTCATATCTCTGGCCACCAGGTGGGGGCAGAGGCGCTGGCCCTGGTCCCAATTCCTCCCACCCGGGCTGGCCACGGAGAGGTAGGAAATCTCCACGTAGTGACTTGGGAATTCATTAACTGTTTCCTTTTTTGTTGTTGATGTTTCTGTATGCCTTTTTTTAAATAGGATAAATAAGCTAAATGATATAAATGTAAAGCCAGGCAAATAGCTTAAGAGAAAAGACACAGTTATAACTATATACAGTTAAGGAAAAGGTGGTGCCTTCCTGTGCATGTGTGAGCTTCATTCCCGCTATGTCCTTCTACCTCGTTTCCTGTCCTTACATGCCTGCATTCTTGCCTCTGTGTCTGGTAGTTTACTTCTCAATGCCCTTTTTAAATTCTAACTTTTGATGTGTTGATTTTGCCTCCTTTATTTTATACATTTAATTATGATTTTGAGGACATTCTGTTTTTAGTCTTGGTGATTTCCCACCAGAATTTCTAAACTTAAATTCATCTTCTTAGCCACCCAAATCAAACATATATTTTTTTCATTCTCTTTTATAGAAAACGAACAGTATTGGCTTCCCTCCCCCCCCATTTTTCCACTTTCCTATTCTTTACTATTTCAGTCTAAGGATTAGATGCTATTCTCTGACAAATAAATAAATAAAATCTTTAAAAAAAAGAAAAAGAAAGAAAGAGTCTCATTCTCTAGTGACTGAGCCAGCCAGGCACCCTAGGATTAGGAATTTTTCTTTCCTCTTGAAGCTTGAATTTGTGACAAGCAATGTCTTGAAGTTGATCCTTAATTTTGCCTGGAACACAGTCAATCCTCAGGATAATGGCTTCTGCCCAGTGCCTTAAATAATTTCAGGGTAAACTTTTCTCCTGTGTAAGTCTGATTTGTTGTGTGGAAGCAGCACTCTGAGGGGTACAGAACTTTCAGTATTCTCAACTGCAAAGATGGCAACGCTTTCTTGCCACCATGCCTTTGCCTGGGCTGTTCCTTCTGCCTGGAGCTCCCTTCCTCCCTTCTCTGCCTGGAACACTCATAAGCATCCTAAAGGTATCAGCTCAAATGCCGGTTTCTGTGGGGCTGGCCATGATTCTCTCAGAGTCGCACCCCTCCTTGGTCTGCCCAACCTGACCCGCATCATGCCCACCCCGTGGTGCTCATTTTATTTTTGTGTCCCCAGTACCTAGCCTGGTGTGTGGCACATGGTCACGATAGCAGCCACCATATATTGGACACTTACCGTGTACCAGGCATTTTTTTAATCCTTGCAGTATTCCCGTGAGGTTTGGATACTCTTGTTATCCGCATGGAAAGATTAGCAAACAGCAGTCTCCTGAGGAACTAAAGTAATTTGTTGCTGGTGGAACAAGACTACAGACTCGGTCTGGCAGCTTCCAGACTGTGCTCTTGGGCACTCGGAGTCGTAGGCACTGGATACTTGCTGGGTGAGTTATGAATGAACAGGTGGCCGTGACGAATGCAGCTCCTACATACAGAAGCATTTGGCGGTACTCTTTTGATGAGAGAAAGGACAGGGAGCATTCTAGGGCTGGGCTGAGCCTGGGAAGGCTGGGTGTGTGTGGGGGGGTGGGGGGCAGGGCAGGCTAAGCACATGCCCAGAGCCACAATATGGAAGGCAGACAGACTTTGTCTCTCTACTTCTTTGTCTTGTGACCCAGCACCTGGTACCTAGGAAAGGCTGTTCTCAAGTAATGATGATGACCCTCCAGTAGTGATGGCCTGTTCTCCTTTCCCCCCACACCCCCATCCTCCTTTCAGCCTCGGCTTTCATCATAGCCATGCTCCTGGCCAGCCTCAACAGCTGCTGCAACCCTTGGATCTACATGCTCTTCACGGGCCACCTCTTCCACGAACTTGTACAACGTTTCCTCTGCTGCTCCTCTGGCTACCTGAAGGGCAACCGTCCGGGAGAGACCAGCGTCAGCAAAAAGAGCAACTCATCCACCTTTGTCCTGAGCTGCCACAGCTCCAGCCAGAGGAGCTGCTCTCAGCCATCCACGGTGTGACTGGGCTGGGCCAGGACTGCCTCCCGTGGCTCAGGTTGTGCCGACGTAGACAGTCCACCCCTTGGTGGCCGTGTGCATGTATGTATAAGGTACCTTTCAGTTTGCACCCTTCCACACCTTGGGGTAGCTTGAGTGGGGTGGGAAATTCTGGCATGGGTTGGGAAGTAGTCTCTGTGGTGGAAGATGATGGGATGACTCAGCCATCAGACAGTTCCTGGGTCTCCCCTAGCTTCCTACGGGTGTTTATATACCCTGCCCCCACTCCCACCTCTGGCTGGTGCATGGGTTGTTTTTTTTCTCCTGGACCTGTCATTTCACTTCAGTATCTTTTTAGTCCTTTATTCTGGGGTCTTGTGAAAGCTGGTGAGTACAGGATAGGTGTGTGGAAGCTTACTGTTCTGAGCTCAGAATAAGGAACGGGAGTGGGACCTCAGATATGGAGGGTGGTGATAATATCCTCCTGACTTCAGAGTGCTTTTACTTTTGCATGGAACCATCCTAGCATCCTTGGGCACCAGCATGTCCAAAGGTGGCCCTAGGAACAGGGGATTCCCTTATGAAGCCATTTGGTATAGGCAGTTGATTAAAACTTGGGTTGAAAATATTTAAGAAGCTAATATTTGCATGAAACAATTAGGAAAGAAAAAGGAACAGAAGGCATCCAGATTGGAAAAGAAGAAGTAAAGCTCTTTGCAGATGGCATGATTTTGCATGTAGACAATTCTAAGGAGTTCATACACATGTACAAACCCATTAGAACGAATAAATGAATTCATCAAGGTTTCAGGGTACAAGGTCAATATGCAAAGACCAGTTGTATTTCTTTATACTAGCAATTCACGATATGAAAATGAAATTAAGAAATAATCCCATTTATACTGGTATAAGAAAGAATAAAATAGGAATAAATTTAACAAAAGAACTACAAGACTCATACCCTGACAACTCAAAATATCATTGAAAGAAACTGAAGAAGACATCCTATGTTCATGGATCAGAGACTTAAATATTATTAAGATGACAGTACTGTCCAAAATGATCTACAGATTCAATGCATTCTCTTATCAAAATCCTAGTTGGCCTCTTTGCACAAATTGATAAGCTGATCCTAAAATTCATACAGAAATGCAAGGAACCCAGAATAGCCAAATGATCCTTTGAAAAGAAGAACAAAGTTGGTGGATTCACAATTCCTGGTTTCAAAATTTACTACAAAACTTGAGTAATCAAAAGAGTGTGGTACTGGCATAAGGATAGACATGTAGATCAATGGAATAGATCAATGGAATAGAATGGAGAGTGCAGTTATAAACCCTCACATTTATGGCCAATTGAATTTTGACAAGTGTGGCAAAAGAATTCAGTAGGGGAGACAGTCTGCTCAACAAATGGTGCTGGGAAAACTGGATATCCACATGCAAAAGGATGAAGTTGGTGAAGGGAATTAAGAGGTACAAACTTCCAGTTATGAAACAAGTAAGTCACAGTGAGGAAAAGTACAGCACAGGGAATATGGTCAATGATACTGTAATACCATTGTATGTGACACAGTAAGTGTACTGTGGTGAGCATTGAGTAATGCATAGAATTGTTGGAATTCCATGCTGTACACCTGAAACTAATATAGCATTGTACGTCAACTATACTTCAATAAAAAAAAGAATGAAGCTGGACTCCTACCTCACACTGTGTATAAAAATAAACTCAAAATGCTTCAAGCCCTAAACATAAGAGCTAAAACTATAAAACTCTTAGAAGAAAACATAGGCGTAAATCTTTGTGACCTTGGATTAGGCAATGATTTCTTAGATATGATACCCAAAAGCACAAGCAAAGGAAAAATAGATAAATTAACCTCATCAAAAATGGGGTATAGAATTTTTTTGCTTCAAAGGACACTGTCAAAAAAGTGAAAAGACACCTCACAGAACGGAAGAAAATATTTGCAAATCATATACTCCTATCCAGAATATATCAAGCACTCTCACCACTTAACAATAAAAAGACAAATAAGCCAGTTTTTTAAAGGGGCAAAATATTTGAATAAATATTCCCCTCCAAGGAAGACATAAAAATGGCCAATAAGCCCAAGAAAAGATGCTCAATATTATTATTCATTAAGAAAATGCATATTCAAGCCACAGCAAAATGCACTTCACACCCACTAAGATGGCCGTCATCAAAAAGATGGGCGCTAACAGGTGCCGGCAAGGATAGAGAGTCATTGCAACTCTCCTACATCCCTTGTGGGAATAGAAAATGGTCCAGCCACTTGGAAAATACTTTGGCTGTGCCTCAAAAAGTTAAACATAGAATGACCGTATGAGCCAGAAATGCCACTCCTGGGTATTTACTCAAGAGAAATGAAAGCATACACAAGTACAAGAACTTGTACATAAATGTTCATGGCACCATCAGTTGTAATAGCCCAAAGTGGAAATTACCCAGATGCCTGTCAACAGATGAATGGGAAAATATGGTCTCTGTGTATAGTGGCATAGTATCTGGCTATAAAAAGGAATGAAATCCTGGCACATGCTGCAACATGGATGACCCTTGAAAACATGATGCCAAGTGGGAGAAGCCATTGCAGAAAGCCACATACTGTATGGTTCCGTTTTTGTGACATGTCCAGAATAGGCAAATCTATAGAGAAAGTTAGAGGACCGTGCTGGCCAGGGGCTGCAGGCTGGGCTGAATGGAGAGTGAATGCGAATAGATGCCAGGTTTTATTTGGGGCGGGGGTGATGACAACTTTCTAGAATTAGTGATGATGGTAGGTGAGTTTTTAGAATATGCTAAAACCACTGAATTGAACATGTGAAAGAAGTTAACAACAACAACGAAATGTTAACCAACCGAATTCAGAGGTGGCCAGCAGGAAGGATGAATTCCTTAGAATCTCCCTGAGCTTCTGTTTCTCTCTGTGACTCACCATTTAGGAGGAATAGTTACTCAGTTTTTCCGCAAGAGTTGATGTTTCCAGTTTGGATGAAGATGCTACTGGTGGTAATCCCCCCATCCCGCTCTAGGAAAGGCACAAGTGAAGTCTTGTGGCTGCACACTGTTGTGTTTTATTTACAAGAGCAATTCACCAAAGGTCTCAAAGGTTTTACTTACCTGGTAAACACAGTCTCACGTGTCCTCTCGGGCTTTAGGAAGGATATGACCGTGCCCAAAAAACTACCTTTGGTTGTTAAATACAGGATGTTCTAGATCAGAGGTTACTTGATGGGGACTGGCCGGCTCATTAGTACTCTGGGGCACTTTTTAAAAAGATTTTTTTACATATTTTTTGGACTGTAATACAAACAGGCGCACTTCCGCAAAGCCATAGATTCACTCTCTCTATACACTGTCCTCTCCTCCCTGCACACTGCGTTATGCACACATGTACACGCCCACACATTTATGCACATGGTCTAGGTGTTCAAGGAGAAGAGAGGCATGCACCGAAACTCCAGTACTCAGATTCTTACTGTTTAGTACAAGATCTTCAGTACTAACTGGACACTGAAGACTGTATTATCTTTAGACCCAGAGACAGTGTTGCTGTGACATGTCCCAAGAGTGTCAACACCAGTCAGTCCTGCTCTTTGGGAAGCTAACGGAATGCTGGTTGGGGGTCTCGTGGCCATGCTTGGGACCACTGGGGCACTCTGGGTGCACATGCAGCCATGGTGGGGTCTGTTGGCATTTGAGCCTCCCTGCTCACCAGCCAGAGATGCCCTCTCCTCCACTGTTCCCGGGGAAGTTGCTACCCTAGCAGCTAACAGAGGCCACTGGGGATCAAGGGGACAGCAATTCACAGATTTTTCTGACTAGGGGCACAACCTTCTTGAGCACCCTGGAGATGCAAGGTTCTTGGGCACTAGAACCAGCAAATCAGTGGCATTGGATTTCAGCAGCACCCGTGGCTCTATACCCCTCCCCTCCCAATCTTGTGCTGGAGAATATCTTCATTGTCTCAGTCTTTCTCTAACCGAGCCTGGAAGCATGAGTGCAGGGTCCTGATCACTGTCTGGAGCCGGTTGTTTCTGTCCTCCTTCCCCAAACCCCACGCCCGAGGTCTGCATACCACTTTCTCCCACAGTGTCAGACCTGTTGGCAAACCAAAGGCATGGCTGGAGGTGCCAGTCAATTGGAACATGTAGGTTTTCTTCTGGAATGTTTCATTATTCCAATGGTCAAAAGTGAAATGTGAACACTTGAAGACTCTGAGCCTTATTTCTTTCGGCCCTGAAAAAATAATTTCTCACACAGTTTGTGCTCCTTTGGGGATGGATCTGTGGGTTACAACTGCAGGAGGCTGCCTTTTACAAAGATCCTGGTTTCAAAGTCCTTAACCTTTTCTATTCAATTGCAATGAAACAACACTAAATGCAAAATGTGGATTCCTCGCTTTTGTTCTACTGTGGTGATTTTTGCGGTACCCTCGTGGACTGTGCCTTTCAGTGAATGGTGTGGCTAATACCAAGATGTCTGCTTCATCAACTGCTTTATAAAAGGCGCACTGAATAAACAATTTTTTTTCATATGTTGCTTTGCCCTCTTTCTCCCTCCCTAAAACAGTGATCGTGTCTGGTGGCTTGTGGACTTGGATTCCCCTGCAGGATGGCAGAGTTTTCTGCCTGATTATGACAGAAGAACACATGGGGTGTGGTGGGGGTGGGGACCTGGTCCCATGGTCTTCAGTCACTATTTGTCAGAATTCCATAAAAAAAAAAAAAGGCTCTAAGACCCAGGCACGGATCTCTTGTATATGACATAGCCACACCCACTGTGTGCCACCGTCTAACTCTGGAGATAATAGGATTCTAGATTGTCACCTTGAAGGGACACTAACACATACTTCTTCCAGTGAGATCAGGGGGCTACCTACAGAACCACAGATGGGTTCGCGTTCATTCTTGGGTTCCGTGGACTCACACTCTGGAGCTGCATTTTGTGCCAGAGTCCCTGATGAGCCGAATGTAGCATATGAGAGAGAGCGGGACTCCACCCCGCCTCCTCCTCTGGCCTGTTCCCATTACGCCCCCATGCTGTTCTTCCTGCTACTTCTCCAGGAGATTCCTGGAAGAAACAGAACTTCTCAGACATACATCCATCTTAACTGTGTGCCCTTTCTCCAGTTCTGTGAACTTCACGGGTAATTGAGCACCTGCTTTCATCTGCCCCTAGTGAAAGAGAGCAAGTTTCAAAAATTGGAGCTGTAGTCAAATCAGGTTATAGAAAATGTCGAGGTGGTGAAACATCTCTGCACAACCCAAGATGCCAAGTCTGAAGCTGATGGCCTAATGCCTTCAAGAGATGTTTGGAAGGGCAGCCCCCTTCGAGGAGGATGTAAGTGATACTGACTTTAAACCTTTTCAGCAGGAGGAGCCTGGGCTCACTCAATCCACCTGAAAACGCGCAGAGCCCCTGCATAGAGCAAAGAGCAGTGGGCAGGAGCTGCTTTACTCCAGTGCTGGCCTGCTGGGTGTCTTTTTGGCAAGTCCAGAGCTGACCTCTCTGGGCTGTAACTGCCCCACCTAGAAAAAACTAAGGGATGACTGCTGAAGTGTTTAGTAGTAAAAATATGGATATCTGCAGCTTATTTTAAAATGCATAAAAAAGAAACATGCACAAAGAAAGCTGAGGCTGGTGGATGGAGAGAGCTGTGACAAAGTAGGAGCTGTAAAACGTTCATTGTCAAAACTAGATGGTGTGCAAACCTTTCAACTTTCCTCTGTGTTTAAAAATGGCATAATAAGATACTAGAAAAAGCAAAAATGAGTAAAATTTTAGGGCTGAGATGGACATTAGGGATCGCTTTATGGATGATAAAATTGAGACCAGAGAAGGCAGCTAGGAGGAGAGACAGGACTGGAACCGAGGCTGCCTATGTCCTGTCTCCTTATCTGCTCCACCATACTGCTCCCCAACACCCCTTGGGCTCATGTCCAGGCACCAGTGAGCTGAAGCCTCTGAAAACCTGCTGCGGAACCATCATTTTATGAGACTTAAATGGGTGTTACATGGGGGGAAACAAAGGTCAAGTGGGATTGGGAGACACTGGCCTGAACAGTTTTCTTCACTGCAGGACTTGTCAGAGCCTTTAATATACTGATGTCTACTGAAAAATCTCAGAGAAATATAGAGCATTTTCCAAACAAATGTAATCACAAAAATCCCCCCCCCCCTTTTTTTTCTGAGGACTAAGTTCTGGATAACAATCTTGGGAAAAATATCTCTAAAGAATGTAAGATTGCTGGTTTTCACCCCCAGTGGGGTTAGGTGAGGAGGAGGTGGACTATGCCCCTGCTATTGTTTTTTACGTCCATAGTGAGTCCACACATGCACAAATTGGACCTTGTGCCCTCATCACATTTCTGAAGGCTGAAGGGGTGCATGTGCCAAGCACCAGGGCCAGGGCCTTGGAGTCTGGTGAGCCAAAGGGGAGGTTCTGAGAGTTTTTAACTCAGGCCCTGCCCTCAGTGGTGCCCAGGGAGGGACTCCCGCCCCTTCTAGCCCAAGGGCCATTTTCTTCTGTTGGTGACCACTGGCTGGCCCAGAGCAACAGAACCCAAAGGGAAATAATCTCCCTAGGAACATGGGGGAGCAAATAGCCAGCGAATAAGAAGAAGCCCAAGAGGAACCCAGCTCTGTTCTGGCTCTTGAATTTGGCCCAGAGGAGGGCCAACCAACTTGTCCCACTTGTTTCTCAGGGCAGCAAACTGTATTTTTGGAGCTCATCGGGACATGTACCTACCTTCTGGACACACACAAAACACAGCGTTCCCCAAATGCAGCCGAAACCCTTTATTGGAGTCACCCTCCTAATGCCAAGAGTCACTGGTAGCTTTCCCAGGTGGTGTGCATGGACAGGTTGACCCCGGGTGGGAACTGAGTGCTGGTTGGTGCTGTTACAGTACAGATGAATGCAAAGACTTGCAGTAGCTGCCTCTTAGCAAATTCTCTTTCCTCCTGCCCGGTCGCGGGGGCATCGAGGTGGGGTAGGGGGCAGGCTGCAGGGCCACTGTGCTTCTGTGGCAGGGCTGTCTTTTCTTTCTGGCTTCCCAAAACTGTGTGCTTCCGTCTTGGGGGCAAATAGCAGTCCCTCAAGAGAAAGCGCTCGCCAGCAGGCCCGCCGAGAAGTACCGTGGGGCCAGCCTGGCCTGACTCGCCCTGCCCGGCCACCCCCATCACCCCCACCTGGCCTTACACTTCCTTCCGGAGCACCACCTTGATGTTGCTGCAAATCTGGCCCAGGGCGGCAAAGAGCGGGTTACAGAAGGTGCGGATGCAGAGGGAGTAGATGTGGCTGATGCACTGGATCTCGATCAGGTAGCTCTTAATGCACGGCACCACTGCCCAGATGTGGCAGAAGGAGATGCAGGCGAACAGGAAGCCCCAGAGCAGGGCCAGCGGGACTCCCAGCAGTGTGGACAGTAGGCGGTAGCACCAGTACTTGGAGACCGTGAAGGTGGTGTAGCTCACCTTCCACACGCTGTCGAAGCTGTAGGTGCCCACGGGCTCTGCGATCACGTCTTCGAAATCCACCTGCGGGGGCGGGGGGGAGGGCAATCTTTCGGTCACAACATCCACCCACTTCCTGCACTTCAGTGTGCCGGCGGCAGAACGCTCTGGAGGGCTGGTTGCACCTGCTGGCGGGGCCGCGTTGCCGGGGATCCTGACTCAGCACGGCCGGGGTGAGGCCTGACACTGCATTTCTGACAAGCTCCCCGGTGATGCCGGTGGTGCCCGGGAGCAGTGAGGCACGGAGCTGGGCCCACGCCCTCATCTTATGGGTGGATAAACAGGCCCTGGGGAGTTGCGTGACTTGCTTAAAGCCACCAGGACGTGCAAGGCATGTTTCCTAAATTCTGTGATTTTATGATCCTAGAGAGTTGGACAGTCCTGGTCATCCTGGGGATAAGGAGGAGACATCTAGCTAGGCTGGTCCCTGAAGGGAGCCAGGTGGAGGGAGGGGCGAGGGTTGGAGAAACATATTGGGCACGGCTAGGACCTCATGGGATGGACAGTGTGCACCCTCGGGGTGATGCAGGTGCTTCCAGAAGGCCAAGGGCAAGCCCAGCGTGGCCAGAGTGAGGCGGGAGGGGCCTGGCCAGACAGTCACTGTGATGAGCAGTCTCCGAAGCTCTAATTTGTGTGTGTGATGAGGACTTTTAGGACCTACTCTCTTAGCACCTTTCATATATGCCGCACGGTGTGGTGAAGCATAGTCACCGTGCTGTACCTTACATCCCCTGGACTCCTTATTTTATAACTGGAGGTTTGTTCCTTTTGACCCCCTTCGCTCACCACCCGCCCCGGCCTCAGCAACCACCAGCCTGTTGTCGGCAATCTGATCTGGATTTTGCGTAGCTGGCTGGGCCAGTGGTGGTTGGGAGAGAGGGCGCAGGTGGGGTCCAGTGGGGAGCCGTGGCAATATTCCAGGCGGGACCCACTGCCAGGCTGGTTTGGGGTGATGGCAGTGGGTTAGAGAGAGGCGCACAGGTCTGAGAGCTATTTTAGAATCTGGCATGTGGTGAAGTGAGGGCCATGCCGTCCTGGCTCGTAAAGGTGTCTGGTGCCGAGTCAGGCTCAGCAGGCCCGAGGCACCTCACCCTAGTCCCACGGCGACCTCGGACTTTCCTCTTCCTGCTGCCTACCCCAGCCCACCTTGCAGCTGGAAAGCACGGGTGCTCAGAGAATCCGGTTCACACTTTCCACTGTGAAATGTTGCTGAGGCCCCATTTGGGAAGTGGGAAAAAATAATCAGTAAACTTGAAAAAAAAAAAAGAGTACTTTAAGCCGAGTCATTTAACTAAACTTTCTTGAGTCCCCGTTATGCATTAAACACTATCATAGCTCATATGCGACGTCCTTTAACATCCCTAAGCTTTAGCTGTCCTGTCTGTGAAATGGGGACATGATCATCTTTCATGCTCCTGGGCCATTTGAATAAAAGCTGGTTGAATGAAATCTCAAACTCATCAGACTGAGGGTGGAGGGGTCACCTGTGGGGCCTGGGGGTGGGGGGCCAGAGCTCAAACATCAGTCTTCCAGGGGATCCTCTCATCTGGGCACAGAATTACTATTCAAATTGCTTTTAAATGACATAGCCACATTGCAGAAAATTCAGGAAATAGTAAAAGGAAAACAAAAGCATCTCCAATTTGTATTTCTCTAGTACTAACAATGTCCTTGCTTTGGTGCTTTTCTTTCCAGGGTGACTTTTTTGGGGGGAGGGAGTGGACACAACCCTGTTGTATGTATAATGGCGAGTCCTGTTTTTGTCACATGAGTATATTCTGAGCTTCCCGTGCCATGCCTCAGATCCCTGGATCCCCCTGGAGACCGCAGAGGATGAGGTCTCACCCAGGGGCTGGTATGTTCAAGGGGAGCAAAGTTGACAGCCTGGGATTTCAGGCTGCAGGTGATGTGAAAAGCTGACTCAGGGAGTCAGTAGGGCCTTCCCGGACCCCCTGTAAATCTCAGCCTCCAGCTGTCTCTGCTGGGGTTCAGCAGAGGTCATTTAACCTCTTAAAGGGGGGCCTGGATGGAAGGGCGAGGCTGGAGGGAAGAATATAAATATGGTCCTCATCTCAAAAAGATGGTACTTATTCCTGGAGGGCTTCTGGGAAGTGGTGGCAGGCTGGGAATT